AGTTGTAGCAGAAGGCGGCATATTTGAATGGCTGTTGTCAGATGGGCAAAAGGTTGAATGATCTATTTCTGGCAACTCTTCACCAAAATTCCCCACGTCAGTATTGTAGCGGAGGGCATTTTCTGGTGTGTTGAGTTGTTTATTTCTTGTCATGGCTCTTGTTGTCCGGGGAGATACTTCATATGAAGTCACATTCCTTAGCTCTGGATCTTCCTGTAAAAACATGATTCTTTTGAAAATTAAAAGGTTTGAAATAATATCTCCAAATCTACAGAATTATTCCCTGTAAAACTAAATTTAGAAATATGGCAACATTTATTTCTAAACCATATAAATTGTAAAAAGAAAAAACAAACAAACAATAAAGACCTCAAACTTAATGACCAAATGATTGCAGCAAAGGCTGTTCTGAAGCAAAAATATTGCTACATGTCTGTACCATCCAAAGGATCTATAATATGTTATTTATATAGAATGGAATTCCTAATAGTGTGTCCATACACAACAGTAACATAACATTGTACACATTCAATAACTTACAAGAAGAGTTTGTGTGTTGGGATCCTCAGGCTTGCCCACCAGTGGGCGCCGAGGATCCTCTTCTGCTCTTTGTTATTTTCTCTTAGACTGGAGTTACTGTTGGGATCTGGAGCTTTACCACCTTCCTCCAGCAGAGTGCGCCGTGGGTCTCCTGGGGCTGGAATCTTCCAGCACACCTGTTGTTCATCTACTCATCAGGAGACTTCCTCTTTATAAACTCCTGCCAGACCTTGCTTCCACGCAGCAGTGTTGATCTTAGTTTGGAAACCTGTCACTAGTCTGAAGCTCTGGATGAGCTGCCTCACCCCAGGCTCACACCGACTCCGGTCTTACCGTTGCGGTGCGGTGGGTGCGGCGCCGCAGTGATTCCAAGTCATTAAAAAGACGTAAACCTCTCTCATCGGCTGCTGAGCGGTTACCGAGACACTCCGGCGCTGCAGAAAATTCCGCAAGAAAGCTATCCTTGCGGCGTGCCGGAGCCCTCCGCAACAAGCTCTCGCAAAAATCCTTTATTTGGGCCGTGTTATCGCGTGAAGTTACGTGAACTTCTGCTAAATCTCCGGACCTGTTGCCGGAGCCGCAGAGCCGCACCGCACCGTAGTCAAAAGGGCGGTGTGAGAGGGGGTGTGCGGGAGTTGCGGTCTCCGTCGGCTCGGTAACCGCACCGGAGCCAGTGTGAGCAAGGGGTCACTGGAAACCTGTCTCTGGCCTGAAGCTCTGGGAGAGCTGTCTCACAGGAAACCTGTCTCTAGCCTGAAGCTCTAGGTGAGCCTACCTCCTAATCTGCCCTGGTGAGCCAACCTGAAGATTCCTATGTGGATTTAACCTGAAGACTTCTGTGTGAAGTTTACCTGAAGATTCCTATGTGGAATCAGCCTGAAGAATCCTTTGTGGATATTCCCTGTTGTTCCCTGCAATGAGCTGGAAGCTCAGCCTGAAGAATCCTATGTGGATATTCCCTGTTGTTCTCTGCAATGAGCTGGAAGCTCAGCTTGAAGAATCCTATGAGGATATTCCCTGTTGTTCTCTGCAGTGAGCTGGAAGCTCAGATCAAGGTCTGCCATGCTAAGCCTGAAGCTAGACGCTTAGCTTCTCATGAACTCTCGTAATCAACAGTCTCCGTTCCCAGTCAAGGCTTGAGTGAACCAGTCTCAGAACTTGTTTACGATCTCATGTTCAGAACTTTAAATAAACATTTGAACTTTTTCCCTGCCTCCTCCGTGTGTGTTCTGCATATGGGCTTGCTCCTTTGATCCATCGTGACATTGTGATGGTTTGACATACAGAGCCTTAGATCGGAAGATCTTCTGGACCAGCTGGCCATTCAGTTGTTGCCCATCTTGCAGTTTAGGAGAGATCAGTTTATTTCCACAGCCCATGAGAATCTGAAGGCTATATGAGACATGTGTGATATTTATTAAAACTATGCCTTTTAGTAAAGTACCTTTACTAAATTTTAAGAATTTAGTAAAGGTACTTCAAATATACTAACATAACCAAAGATTATCAATGTAGGATTACCTGACATTTTGAGGAATTGTCGAACCAAATCCACCTCTAATTTGCTGGATCACAGTATGATAGTCCCAAGACTTGTAGAACTCAAAGGCACTCAGTATGTGACCATTTTCATGCAAGTATTGCTTGAAAGGTGGCTTGCAAATTACTTCCCAGGTGGGATTTGGAAGGAGTATTACATCTTTGTTATAGCATTCATGGTAATGGATACCTCTGGGTCTGAAAAATGAGGAGAACAAAACATAAAATTTAATGAAAACTGCACTATAATAAAGACCCTATTCCACCTATAGATACAATGGGCCAACTCCACCGGCCGGTTTTATCATCGGAAACATCTAATATTATGGATAATCTGTGCTGGTAGCTTAAACGAAGACCAACAAACATATTACCTTCTTCTCCTGTTAGTAGACCAAAGTCCAAAACTCTGCTGGGCTTGGAAACGTGGAGCCGCAGCAGCCACCAAACCTGGTCCTGTCAAAGAGCAAGAGCTTCAGCAGGAAGAACATCTGAATGATGCTTTCATTGTCTGTATTTCCACAGATGTTATACCACCCCATGTTAGCACATGGGGTCGGATTAATAAAAATGCTTAAAAAAACATTTACTGTGATAGATAGTGCCGAAGTAGCAGGTGGAGGAATACGGTGTTGTGATATGACCTGGGAGTGTTGTGATGGAGCTAATGGGTTCAGATTTTACTTGCAGATAAAAGCAAGTTTCCGATGGTTAAAGCTAGAATCCGTCTATTTGTACTATGTACTGTTAAGAATAAGGAGGAATCCACTCCATTTAATATATTATAAAAGGAAAAAAGCACAATATTACTATACCTTGATTTCCTGTTGACACCGCCGAACTTCGGCCAGCTGCTCCAGTACGAAACAAAGATGATAGTTCTGTTTCAACAGAATCAGTATGGGCCACCTGAGGAGCTCTTTCACTTAAAGCCCTGGCCACACTGCTTGTTGCATCCGGTGTTGATAACAGGCCATTTAAAATTGCGGCTGCTTGACTTATTTTTTCCTTACTTACACTGCCGTTAGCCATGCTACGTCTTCTTCTCGGAAGCTCATTATTGTTGGCTCAGCAGGTAACTGGCTTGTGTGCTGCCCCCTATTGCCCACCCCGTTTTAAATAATATTGCTCAGTTTGGGTTCCACGCATGCGCTAGCCAATTTGCCCCGCCTCTTCCGTGACAGGTTGAACTCTCTCACACACAAGTACAAGCCTCTCATTCAGTCTGCTACGATATCAGTCACATACACACACACACACACACACACACACACACACACACACACACACACACACACACACACACACACACACACACACACACACACACACACACACACACACACACACACACACACACACACACACACATACATTCTGGTTTTTGCCCTTTGTGGGGTCCTCCAGTTTTTTGGTGCTTTATGGGATCCACCCTTTCCAGTGGTCCTACACTGCTGCAAAAACAAGGATTGATTTTAAAAAAAATCCCAATCCTTAAAATCACTTCAGTTCAACAAATTTCTAAAGTTTTATCCAAAAAGGCATTTGGCCACTTGTGGGATCCCGTTCCTAGCATTGCCAACTTGTGGGGTCCACTCGCATACACACATACATATCAAGTTTTTATGTGTTTATGGGGCCCAAGGACGCCATTAGCAGATGCTGAGACCAGCCTTGATTATTAATCCCAGTTTCCACATTTTGGACTAAAATAGTTATTTTTGTAATGAGGAATGATGCACAGTTCTGCCATACAGTCTGACCATTTGAGGTAATCACTGCAATCGGGTGTTTTCTGTAATGGTCAATCAGATGACACCTGTTGACAGGTATGTTGGTCCACTGTTAATGAACAAGCTGCTTAAAGGTTGAATATGGAAGACGGTCAGAACAGCAAGATCACGTGTGTCTAAGTTGTAGTTGCAACGGCCAAAAAACAACTCCAGCCGCTGGGATCCCAGGCTCGCTGCTGATATGCAAGTGACCACCAGCCTGCAGCATGTCCTACAAGTAACGCGGAGGAGTTTATAACTCACAGCTAACATTAGCCACGTTAGCAAACAAGCTAGCTTTCCGATCGAGGAGAAAAGTCACCATTTCCATGTTTTTGATGGCTTAGAAAACGTTTATATGGGTCGTCTTAACCTAAATTTGTCAGGTCACTCCTCTTCAGGAACACCTCCAGGACTCTGAAGCAGCTGCTAGACTCACAGTCTTCCCTGTTTCCCCCTGTGCTAGCTTGGCAACCGTGCCAAACATACTATTTTGTCCAGTTTGGTTTTTTCTCGGTACAGTAAAGGAGAAAAAATTAACAAATATTAACTGTCTTGTGTTTTATCAACAAGTTTGTTAAACTTTATCATCATAGCCGAGTATATACTACACACCCGACCCAGTGTTTCCTAGCATTGTATAGAAAGACCCAGACCAGCACCTCCTACGAAGTCCGGTTAGTTATTGTGACTAACCGACTTGAACGCTAGAGGTGCCAGGGTTTTTCCTTGCTCAAATTGAGGTGGTACCATCCTTACCACACGCACATGTGCACGGGCACGTGTATACGTACATGTACATGCTCTGTTTCCAAGCAATACGTTTTGTTTTTTGGGAGTCTAATGTATAAATAAGGTAATGACTAGGGATGAGCAAGTTCACCACTATCTGTGTCTGTTCAACCATCTAAATCATCTGCATCTATACTCGAAGTGGGTGGGGTCTAAACGTGAAGTGGGCTTGGTTCAAGCAGAGCTGGATGGGGCTTAAATTGGTACATGGTTTTTATTTTATTTTTTTTTTACTTTAGAAACTCAGAAGCTGATCAAATATCGGGTTAAATATCGGTGGGGTGGCCGATGTCCGATATTCAGTTTTAAGGCCGATACAGGCCGATACCGATAGGGGGCCGATTATATCGTGCATCCCTACACCATAGCATACAAGTCAGCATAGATGAATGTGTTTAAATGTACTTTTACCTGTGTGCAGGGCTCATCTGGGATTGGTCCATCATTCAACGTCTGAGGAACAGGGCTGGTCTCATTCTCAACTGCTGCTGCAGGAGTCTGAAGGCCTTTCACCTGAAATATAGAAGGACAAGAATGGATTTAGAACTGAATGAAGAGACACTAACGGGCAAATAAGATCATCTAGTGGTCAAACATTTCTGAAACAGCACAGTGCTTCAACCGAGAGCACGGCATGGTCTTCAGGACTCATCAGCAGCTATTATGATCGGATCAATGCAAAGATTGTGTTTAAAGATGCAACGGCTCAGAGAGTGCACAATGATGAATGTTAAAATCACAGCTGAGGTCATGTCAGGTGTTACCATGGTGCCTTATAAACAATTACAGTAAGAACTGGACGGGAGGGCCCCACATGGCTCACACTAGAGACAAGGGAGTGTGTAAAGGAGGGACTACAGAAAGAATGCATTTGGAAGATTGAAGGACCCCATAAGGACATGACTGGAAACATGACGGTGTGTGTGACATTACCTGGTCTTTACCACTCAATAGCTTTTCTTCTGCTGCTGCAGGAGCTTGGGTTTTTTTCACCTGGATCACAGAAAGAACTCATCTTAAATCATATCACAGATCAAAGACTCAACACATTTACATTGTCATAGTCCAGAGAAACATCGATAATATCAGAGAAATACAACATTTGTTTTTTGTAAAAAATAAAAATAAAAAAGTCAAGAAATCTACACCTAATCTAACCAACTCACCTCAGTACGCCAAGGCCATTTTGCTTTACCATAGTCATAATCAGTTTCATCTCCTATTCCTATTTTCTTAAGAGAAAAAAGGCACAAGTGTGGCTTGTCGTCAACTATGATTTTTTTCACGACACAATTTGAATTTTTGTGGTTGTCATTGACTAGTCGTCCGAGAGATCCATCTTCTTCAGATGCATCCAGGCTGAAAAGCATAAGAAAAATTGTTGTAGTTTAAAGTTTTATTGAAAGATGCATTTTCAAAAGAAATTCCTAAGAGTAGGGATGCACGATATTGGGATTTTGGCCGATATCCCGATATTTAAAACTCATGTAGCCGATAACCGATATCGATACCGATGTTAAAGCTGGACAAAAATAAGTAGTCATTGAAAATAGCAGTTTTGTTATCCATTTCTGACACTTTGAAAAATAATATACTCAAATATATTTTCATATGCTGATATCAAATTGATTTTTAAAAACGCGGTATCGATCCATTTTACTTTCAAAATCTCGTGAAATTTCATCGTTCTGTTACAAACTCTCGTGATATTTTGCAAATTCTTGTGAGATTTTGTTAGTAAAATAGATCGATACCGCGTCAATATATCAACATATAAAAATATGGCAACATTTTGTGAATTTTCGGGGGATTTCGTAGCATAACCATGACATATAGCAATATTTCATTAGTAAAAGAGATTGATATGGTGTTTTTAAATGGCAGTATATCAGCATATGAAGATATTGGGATATTTTAATGTATCAATATTTTTTCCCTCGTCTTTAGAAGTTTTTAAGTCTGTAAAAAAGAAGTTTTTGAGGAAGAAGAAGTAGTAGTATTTATTTATTTTTTTTTAGACTTTAGAAACTCAGAAGCTGATCAAATATCGGGTTAAATATCGGTGGGGTGGTCGATGTCCGATATTCAGTTTTAAGGCCGATACAGGCCGATACCGATAGGGGGCCGATTATATCGTGCATCCCTACCTAAGAGTATGTGTCTTTTAAAACATTATTCAAATATTAAACCCATGTTTCGGGGTCAAATCAGAATTTCTCCAATCTAACAAAACATCCATCTATTCATGCTTACCACAGGCGATTGTTCCGATACTCAAAGTCAAAGAGAAATGTGCTTTCAATCTCTGAGTATTGTCTTGACCGGCATTCTTCCTGTGTCAGGAGTTTACCCCTATACTCCAAGACAAAGTCCCCTGGTTCAATGGGGTGTGTGGCAAAAACTCCTCTTCCTATAGTAATATAAAATAAGTCAACATTTAATTCTGGGAACTCAAAAAGAAATGCAGCATTCTTTTAAAGTGAGGTTGAGGTTCTTATGTCTCATTGTATTACCTGCAGACAATGCTCAGCACTCTCCAAGTTGTGTTGCTCAGTGTACAGGTAAACTGCTTTTTTGATCAGCCTTTATGTGGCCATCAAATGTTTTTGATGCTGACCCATCCAGATCAATGTATCATTGAGGTCGCGTCTGCTCTATTCTGTTCCCTTTACCTGAGAGTGCTGTGTACCATTTAGTGCAGGCAACACACTAATGAAGCATACGGACATCATACAACTCAGACTTTTGACAGACAGATGTACTGTATTGATCCCAAACTGGGAAATTACAGTGTAGCAGCAGCAAGGCATGGAACTAAAATAGCAATATTTATATATACACAGGTACTACCAAAACAATTAAATAGATCCTGAAAAAGTTCTTTTATTTCTGTAATTCAACTTAAAGAGTGCAATTGACATATCACAAATGCAGACATAGGCAAAGGCTGAGTTGGAATTCAGTGCTAAGCCCCTTTCAGACTTGCACTGGAAAGGGGTAATATTGTGGACTCTGTCCTTTATACCGCAAGTCATCTGTCCTGCTGATTGTACAATTAAGATAAATACAGCTCATTGTTGTGGAAGCGGAACTATAGTTTAGGTTAGGTGTTCCGGTAGAGATGTATTGTGGAGACACCTGGTGTTCATAATAAACTGTTTAGCATCACGTTGGTCTGAGTTGCCTCATGTCTTCAGCCTGCAAGTGCCATTATATAACATGGTGTCAGAAGTAAACGGAAAGAGAAAGCTTCAACCGCTACAGGAGACAAGATGAGCGTTGAGGGGAGAGGACAAGTGGTCGCGCCGCAGCTGTCGCCGCCAGAGAAGTTTGACTTCACTAGGCCTAATGAGTGGCCGCGGTGGATTTGAAGATTCGAGCGCTACAGAATAGCGACAAAGCTGGACCAGCAGTCCCAAGAATTCCAGGTGAATTCGTTCATGTATGCCGCAGGCGATGATGCAGAAGACATATTAAGTGTCTTACCTCTCACGGCCGACCGGGAAAAAATCATATGACGCTGTCGCGAAAGCCTTCACCGATCACTGTGTTAGCAAGAAAAATATAATCTATGAAAGAGCATTTTTCAATAGACGGAGCCAGGAGCCGGGCGAGAGCGTAGAGTCCTTCATTATCGCGGTACACACGCTGGCGGAGCACTGTAAATTTGGCGCTCTGAGAGAAGAGCTAATCCGAGACCGCATTGTAGTCGGCATAAGGGATGCTAAGCTATCAGAAAGCCTACAGCTTGACCCGGAGTTGACGCTGGAGAAGGCTATGACGAGAGTCAGAAAGAGCGCAGAAGTCAAAAGACAACAGACGCTTCTACACGGGACGGAGCAGGCTACAGCACAAGTCGAAATGATAAATAAAAAGAGCACAAAAGGAGGAAAGACAAAGGATAAAACGGAGCACAAAATAACAGGGTGCGGCAGATGTGGACAGGCGAAGAAGCATGGATGGACGGACTGTCCTGCTCTGAGTGCTGAATGTAGACGATGCCACAAAAAGGGACATTACGCAAAGAAATGCAGATCAGCAAGCAGTGTTCATCACGTCTCAGAAGCACAGAGTAATGCTGCAGAGGAAGAGGATTTTGCCTTTTTAGGAGAGATGGGTTCACAAGAGACTGATGAGTGGGTAGAAAGACTGCAACTAAACCAGGAAGACTGTGTTTTCAAACTGGATACCGGTGCATGTGTCACAGCAATACCAAGTAGCAAGTACTCAGAGCAGACACATGGGGTATTACAGGCGCCAAGCAAGGTGCTGTATGGACCAAACAGACAAAGGCTGAAAACACAGGGATGCTTCAGAGGTGAGCTTCATATTAAAGGCAAAAAGACACGACAAAACCTCTATGTTGTTGAAGACCTGTCAAAGCCACTGTTAGGTCTCCCTGCAATAAAAGCTCTGAACCTGATAAAGCGAATTCATGAGATTGAGACACAGAGAGAGGACTTTAAGGCAATGTACCCCACAGTTTTTTCTGGCTTAGGGAATCTAAAGGAGCCGTACACTATTCAGTCAGAGCCTGCTGCGGTCCCATATGCGCTCTCCACCCCGCGCAGAGTCCCTCTGCCTTTAAGAGATAAAGTAAAGGCAGAGTTGACACGGATGGAGGACATGGGGGTGATTTCTAAAGTGATCCAACCGACACCTTGGTGTGCTGGCATGGTTGTGGCGCCAAAGGCCCAACCTGGAAAGATCCGGCTGTGTGTGGACCTGACACATCTGAACAGATGGGTGCGCAGAGAGAGACACATACTCCCAGCAGTAGACCACACGCTTGCCATGCTAACTGGAGCTAAAGTGTTCACAAAGCTGGATGCAACTTCTGGCTTTTGGCAAATCCCATTGTCAGAGGAGAGCAAGCTCCTCACAACATTCATCACTCCGTTCGGGCGGTATGCATTCAATCGCCTGCCGTTTGGGATATCATCCGCTCCGGAACATTTTCAGCGCCGCATATCACAGATGCTTGAGGGGGTGACGGAGTGGTGTGTCATGCAGATGACATTGTGGTGCATGGCAAGGACATGCAGCAGCATGACACCAGACTGCATCAGGTCCTGAAAAGGTTGAGAGAGGTGGGACTGACCTTAAATGAGAAGTGTGAGTTTGCCAAAGAAAAAATCACATTTGTGGGTCACCACATTTCCGCAGATGGAGTTACACCGGATCCTAATAAAGTCAGAGCGATAATGGAGATGCCAGAACCACAAAGCGTTGAGGATGTGAGGAGAGTCATGGGGATGGCGAACTATCTCGGTAAGTTCCTCCCCCACCTGGCGTCATACACACGTCCCATTAAAGATCTACTCAGTGAGAAAAATGAATGGTGCTGGGGAACACCACAGAAAGAAGCATTCCAGAAACTCAAAGAAGAACTGAGCTCACCCCCAGTGATGGCCCCATATTCTCCCTCAGCAGAGACCTGTGTAGCAGCAGATGCTTCATCTTATGGAGTGGGGGCGGTTCTTAACCAACAACAGCCAGAGGGGTCATGGAGACCTGTTGTTTACATTTCAAGAGGACTGACAGAAACAGAGAAACATTACGCCCAAATCGAAAAGGAGGCCTTAGCAGTGACATGGGCATGTGAGCGGCTGGCTCCTTACCTGCAGGGACTGAGGTTCAGGTTAGAAACAGACCATAAGCCCCTGGTACCTCTTCTGAGCACCAAAGCCTTAGATGAGCTTCCCCCAAGGGTGCTGAGGTTTAGACTCAGACTAATGAAGTTCACATTTGATATTGTACATGTGCCTGGGAAGACCCTAATAACAGCAGATACATAATCACGGGCTCCTGTCAAGCACACGCTCACTGAAGAGGAGAAAGAAAGCGAAGCGGAAGTCAAGGTGTTTGTGGACACCGTCATCCAGAGTCTACCTGCAACGGAGGGTAGACTGAGAGACATCCAAGAGAAACAGAAAACAGACCGTGTGTGTGCTCAACTGATCCATTTTTGGAAAACAGGATGGCCAGAAAAACATGCTCTCCCACCAGAACTTGCACCATACGGCCCAGAGAAAGAAAACCTCAATGTGGCAGAAGAGCTACTCCTGAGAGGCCAAAGAATAGTCATCCCTGCCTGCATGAAAGAAGAGATCCTCACAAAACTTCACAGTGGCCATCAAGGAATTGTGAAATGCAGGGCAAGGGCGCGTCAGTCTGTGTGGTGGCCTGGGATCTCAGTGGACATAAACAGAATGGTGGAGAGCTGCAACTAGGGCTGGGTACCGAACTTCGGTACTTTTATGGTACCGACCGAAATGCTTCGGTTCTACAGAGTATCGAAAACATGCCTCGTCTTTCGGTACCAAGTTTCGGTGATTGGCTGTAACACTTAACGTGATTGCGTCATCCAGGAAAAATACACAGATGGTCACGCCTACAGCCAGGGTTCATGTGTATCTGTTGTGAACTGGTTGTGAGCGTCGTGGAACCCCTTTAAAATGCCCCCCAGGTCAAAAGTGCGGCTTCACTTTATTAAGACTGATGCTAATAGTGCGCAATGCAATACATCGTGCACGGAAATAATTTAAGAGCAGAAAGTCGCTCGGTGTTTGACTGCGAGAAGAGCGGACCGCAGCGGGCGCGACAATCCTCCTCTCAGCAGCCCGTGGGCAGAGCAAAGCTAGAGCGGAGTGAATAATGCGAGACACTCTTGGAGAATGCTGATTTCAAACTGGACGCAGCAGGGCCAGCAAAATCACGTCTGCTGCTTCCTTTTTTGCTGCTTGTACCAGCTTCTGACGCGCGGCTGAAGCAGCTTTGCTGCGCGGTCAAAAAGTGGGTCTGAAGGGCAGAGCTACTCTATCCTTTATTTGCCTTGCAGCTATATTTGCTGTGATCAGTGGTAATAAAGTAGTTTTATCATGTTTTTAAGTGGGAAAATCCACCTGAAAACTTAATCACTGCAGTCAGTTCATCCTGCCTTCCAATATTTCTGTCGGAGCCGCTCAGACCCCCACATACCAGCGGTGCTCTGTCAGTAGGATCCCATTCAACGGGCTTGTTTGTCAGACATGGTAATTTTTCTAAAGGAAAACTGCTAAGTAAAAAGGTCCTCACAATGTAACAGTGAATATTAGACACTGAATTTTTTTTTTATGTAAGAGGAAAAATGAGAGCTTAAAATAAAACTCAAGATTTGTACTTTTTTATGTTGTGTAATTTTCTTTTTTTTCAAATTGATATTATAAAACTGGTATCGAAAAAAGTATCGTTCAGGAACCGGTATCGAAGTGAAGGTATCGGTATTGGTACTGGAACCGAAAATTTTTGAACAATACCCAGCCCTAGCTGCAACATATGTTCACAACACAGAGCAGCAAAACGAGAGCCCCTACTGACCACACCAGTGCAACAGAGACCATGGCAGAGAGTCGGCACAGACTTTTTCTTCTGGGAGAAAAAGACTTACCTGCTGGTGGTCGACTACTTCTCACGGTACATTGAGGTGGCGCACCTTAATGTTGCATCAGCAGGCACAGTAGTTGCTGCACTGAAAGATGTATTTGGACGTCACGGGATACCAGAGGCCGTTATCTCAGAGAATGGGCCTCAATAAAGCAGTGATTTATTCAGCGGCTTCGCCAAAGAATACGGGTTCTCACACATCACAAGTAGCCCGGGATATCCACAGGCTAAGGGGGAAGCAGAAAGAGCAGTTGCCACAGTTAAATGCCTGTGGAAAGGTGGACAGGATAAACTGCAAGCACCGATGGCTTACAGAGCAACACCGTTGGAATGTGGTTATTCTCCCTCACAGCTTCTGATGGGAAGACGGCTGTGCACAACTGTACCACAGCTCCCTGCATCCTTGCAACCCCGCTGGCCCCAGATCAGTGGCTTCCGAAGACGAGAGAAGAGAGCAAAGGAGAAGCAGCGACGCCATTACAACATTCGTCATAAAGCCCATCCCTTGCAGCCATACCTGCCAGGTCAGAAGATCTGGCTTCCAAAGGAAAAGAGACATGGGACAGTGGTTCAACTGGCAGAGACACCCAGGTCCTACATGATTGACACGGATGAGGGACAGATCAGGAGGAATAGAGGACACATGCGCACTGTACATAACTCACACATACAAACACCTGCTACCTGCACAGCAAACACAGACACCGGTACTACTGACCACCCCACACACACCAGTTACAACACGACCAGTGAGGGTAACACAAATACAACCAACTCACCATACAGTACCGCTTCAGGCAGAGTTTCACGACCACCTGTACGTTTGGACTTGTAAAAGGAAAGAAAAACAAAAAAACAAAAAAAAAAAAGAGGAAGGAGAAAAATGTTAGTGTTTAAGAGTATATGTGACTGCTGTTAATGTTAGAATAAAGCAGCATATTTCAGTGAGGAGGTTCTTATTTAAGGGGGGAGGTGTTGTGGAAGCGGAACTATAGTTCAGGTTAGGGTTTCTGGTAGAGATGCATTGTGGAGACACCTGGTGTTCATAATAAACTGTTTAGCATCACGTTGGTCTGAGTTACCTCATGTCTTCAGCCTGCAAGTGGCATTATATAACACTCATCAACAAATGAAATAGGCTGATTATTGACAGAACTGGGTCCTTGTGACACATAAGTCCTGCCTTTTCCTGCATGATGCTGAGTTCTAGTTTTGTTAGCTGTAAAAAGAAACCTTTTTCAACACCATTTTATGCCAAATCATATTCATACTGAACCACAACAAAGTGCAGTAACTGGTGTGATTAATATTCTTAAGCACTCCATTAGGCCGGATGGTGTTGTATTTATTTTCTTTTATTCTTGGAGTATGACTTTCTTCCACAAAACCAAATAAACAAACAAATTTTGATCAAGTTCATTTGGGAATTGTAAATTGACCCAAATAGTTACTGTGGTGAAAAAATTCAAAGCTGGACAGATCTGCATCTTCTCTGATGGAGCATGTGGCCTCCTACATTTCAACAGATTTCAACAACAGCACAGTGGTCATGGCAGTTGATGCTACACAGGCTTGATGTATGTAAAATAACTTTAAAGTTTTTAAAAAAGAAAAGAATTGAAGGAGAAAGTCCAGCTTTTAAAATAAATTCTACATGAATTATGACATTTATTTTTAAAGGCCCCATATTACCAATTGCTTCTGAAATGCACAAGTTGTGTCAAGGAATCTTCTGTCACTTACCTTTACAACTGTCAATGAATCTCGAAATAAACCCATCCTTGTCAGTGCAAGACAGAATATATGTCTTTGCTTCATCTATGGGCTTTTTCCTTCTCCTCCTTGTGGACATAATGCTCTGTGAAAAAAATGTAATCATTTAGTCGAGGCAATCTTCCATGAACACCACAAACCTCAGTCTGATGCTCATTTCAGAGTGTATGTATATATATATACATGCATATATGTATATACACACTGCCTGGCCAAAAAAATGGATGGATTGGTCACCACAGAGTCCAGACCTCAGCCCCATTGAGAATCTTTGGGATGTGCTAGAGAGGGCTTTGCACAGCGGTCAGACTCTACCATCATCAATGCAAGATCTTGGTGAAAAATTAATGCAACACTGGATGGAAATAAATCTTTTGACATTGCAGAAGCTCATCGAAACAATGCCACAGCGAATGCTACAGCTAAAGGCCACAGCTAAAGGCGGTCCAACAAAAAATTAGAGTGAACGACCTTTTTTTTTGGTGGCAAATTTTTTTTTGGCCGGGCAGTGTATATATACACATACACATATATACACACATATATATACACATACACATATATACACACATATATATATATATATATATATATATATACACATACATATATATATATATATATATATATATATATATATATATATATATATACATATATATACATATACGTATATATATATATAAATATACATATATATACATATACATATATGTATATATATATATATATATATATATATATATATATATATATATATATATATATATATATATATATATATATACATACATATATATATATATATATATATATACATATACACATATATATATATATATATATATATATATATATATATATATATATATATATATATATATACATATACATATATATATATACACACATATATGAAGGACCAACTCTGCCATATTTAAAAATAAATACAGAAATAAATAAATGCTCAATAAATGTAAAAGCATACAATTAATTGCCAACAAAAAAATGAGACATACATGTATATAACTCTTAATTAGCTTCTTTATTTATTTGCCTTTGTAATATTTACCTTATTTATTTTTCTGTCCTTTATAATCTTCAACTTTATTTTTTAATTACTTATATTTTTAAGTATTTATTTATGTGCATGTTATAATATTTTTGTCTGTTTTATTCTTCCTTTGTATTTTTTTACCTTAGTTATTTCTTCGCCGCTGTTTATTTCTCTCTGCCCTTTTTACATTTCTCTATGCATTTCTGCCTCATTATGCAAATGAGGAGGGGGTGTGTCCTACAGAGTCAACTTCTGCTCATTGGTTGGCTTGGCGGTCCATCTTCTTAACTCACAGAGCTCAGAGTACTAAGTTAAATGTTCTCTTTTCTTTTGCTGTTGTTCAATTAAAGTATGTTTTAAGATCATTTGAGGCGAGAACCTTATACTTTTAAGCATCACCTTATGGCCCATTCACAGATTTAATGCGTAATCTAAAAGAAAATGTGACGAACTTGAGAGGACCGTGGCAACCAGCGGAGCTCCGAAGCTGACGGCAGCCAGGTCTAACCACAGCCCATCTGCAGCGGCCCTCTCTCGGCATAGCCGTGTGTGAAGAATCGCTGGTGATGATGGCGATTTTTTGCTGCAGCGGCCCTCTCTCGGCATAGCCGTGTGTGAAGCGTGTTGGTTAGCATTTTACTACATCGGTCGAATCTACAGGAGGAGAGTCTGATGTCGAGTCTGAAGTCATTAGAACTTGAGTAGGGACTTTGCCAAACTTTGCCAAATACAACAAAAAAATCGGCATCATAGCCTGGCTATAGACCTGGCTGCCGTCAGCTTCGGAGCTCCGCTGGTTGCCACGGTCCTCTCAAGTTCGTCACATTTTCTTTTAAATTACGCATTAAATCTGTGAATGGGCCATATGGTGATGCTTAAAAGTATAAGGTTCTCGCCTCAAATGATCTTAAAACATACTTTAATTGAACAACAGCAACAGAAAAGAGAACATTTAACTTAGTACTCTGAGCTCTGTGAGTTAAGAAGATGGACCGCCAAGCCAACCAATGAGCAGAAGTTGACTCTCTAGGACACGCCCCCCTCCTCATTTGCATAATGAGGCAGAAATGCATAGAGAAATGTAAAAAGGCAGAGAGAAATAAACAGCAGCGAAGAAATAACTAAGGTAAAAAAATACAATGGAAGAATAAAACAGACAAAAATATTATAACATGCACATAAATAAATACTTAAAAATATAAGTAATTAAAAAATAAAGTTGAAGATTATAAAGGACAGAAAAATAAATAAGGTAAATATTACAAAGGCAAATAAATAAACAAGCTAATTAAGAGTTATATACATTTATGTCTCACTTTTTTGTTGGCAATTAATTGTATGCTTATACATTTATTGAGCATTTATTTATTTCTGTATTTATTTTTAAATATGGCAGAGTTGGTCCTTCATACACATATACATATATATATATATATATATATATATATATATATATACACATATATATATATATATATGTATATACATATATATATATATATATATATATATATATATATATATATATATATATATATATATATATATATACATATACATATATATACATATACATATATATATATATATATATATATATATATACATATACGTATATATATATATACACACTAGGGCTGCAACTAACGATTATTTTAAAAATCTATGAATCGGGCGATTATTTTTTCGATTAATCGATGAATCGGACAAAAAATATTTTTTATATTAACCTCTTTATTCCAAAATAAACATTTTAGACAGATCAAACAAGCACACAAGTACAGGTTGCTCATTAACTGTACTGGTGCAATATGAAAAATAAACGTTTGTGTTAAAACTACGCAAACTTACATGAGAAATGTAGCTGTACATCCACAAAATATAGGCTACTTTGTTTCATAAAACGCAAAAAAAAGACATTTTTGTTTTTAAAAGCCCCTAACCCCCAGATTCCACATACTCCGTCAGCGCTCCGCTCCGCTCCGCCCCGCCCCGCCCCGCCCCGCTGACGTACGTCGTGCGGAGCGCTTGTCTTTCGTGGAAAATCAATGAGAGCTGTTCCACATCCACCGCTACTCCTCCGCACGTCTCCGTCCACGTACGTCTTCTCCGTCCGTCACCGACAAATTACGGAGCCGAGCTATTTTTTGCTCCGCTCCGGTCCGGCCAGGTCAAGATCCGCAATTGCAATCGCACCAAACAGGAAAAAGAACATCGACAAATTCCGGTTCGTCAAATTAAAATATAGTAGCAACAGATCGGTGACTAGAAATTATAGCACAATTCTTATAAATATCTAAAAAAAACAAACAAACAAAAAAATTAACACCGTTTATTTAAATGATTGGATCCAAACTATTGGTTATTCACCAACGAGGAAGCAGATTTCTCATCTCCATCAAAATATTTATTTTATACCGAGGGACTTAAAGTTTAATCAAATCCATTCAAAAGAAGCTTCTTATTACAGGAATGAAAAGAGATGCTTAGTTGTAGAGAACAAGTTCATAAAAAAAAGCAGTATTGAATTATCCTTATCTCTGTTACAAAAATCTACAAATATATATATATATATATATATATATATATATATGGGCAGAAACTGAACATATGCTGGATGATGGTGGGATTTTTTTTAATATGCCATATTAAATTAAGCGCTCACAGGGTTCATACAGGAATGAGTGACTCTAATTTAGTGCTATTAGAAATGATTTTAATGCCATCAACAAGAACCATGAACACAAGTTATTAGTCTACATGAAATATGAAGGAGCTGTAAGCAGAGTTCCATGACTCCTGTATGTATGTAAACACACACACACACACACGCACACACACACATATATATACGTATATATATTCTCTAGCTTTTTCTCCGCCTCGAGCTTCCTTTCCGAACATACGGCTTTATAAACAGTTCCACGCAAATTAATAGCGATATAATATATCTGACGAAATTGTTTTTAGAAGCATTTTTATTAAAGAATCATAAATGCAACGATAAACATATTTAATTAATTTTAGTGCCAATTAAGGCCTTGATTAAAAAAAGAATTATGAATTGTAATTATTTTTAATGATCCGCGGAAACCCTGGTTCATCTGGCGCATGCCCTCTACGATCTCCAAGGAAGTCAGAGCGGAGGAGACGGAGCAACAGCGGCGGCTGTAGGCTTTGCTTTGTGCAGGCGGTCTGGAGCGCAGCGGGGCGGAGCGGAGCGCTGACGGAGTATGTGGGATTTCAGGGTAAGGGGTTCAAACAATAGGTCCCCCCATTTCAACATATGAGGTTTTTTTAGACTAGAAGAGTTCTGCCTTTTAAGACAGGAAAGTATAGCAGTTAAAGTTGCTACTTGAGAAAATACTGAACCATAGAGATAAAAATAGCCCTGTGATTCAAATTATAAATTGTATTTGGAATAAAAATAAGAGAACTAGGGGTGCTAAAAAACACATCCTCCAAAGACAGATATTTACATGGAAATGTGGCATATAATTCATTGACATATTATTGATCTTGCTGGATTTTATTCTGCTTTACTTCCATAAATTACAGGATCTTCTTTACTTTATCTTTGCCAGAAGATTTAAACGCCTTGCCCTCATAATTTGCAAGTTAATTTATTTATAAAGAAAATATAAACGCTGCTTAAGCTAATTCAAATGAAATTAAAAGTAAAATAAGTAGCCAACCTTATCACTGTCTGTAACCTACTAACAAGGTAAGGAAAGCATCAGATGAGCTACCTGAGAAACTAACATTACGTTTCCCCACTTTAAAACCAAACAAATATGGCCGCTCACCCTGCTGATCAGCTCTCTTCACTGCCATTGAAGGCTCCAACCTGTTTTCTTTTCAGGTGCTGCGTCATAACAGTGGTGCTTCTGTGCCATGTTCACTTGTTTTTACTAAAGTTGCATGTTACGACTTTTTTCACTTTACAAAGCGCAGGCTATTTTAATTATTGTGATCAATTTGCGCCTTCAATCCCGGCGCATGCGCGCTTCATTTGCAGTCTAGACGCTGAGGGTAAAAATCCTGCGGCTCTGACTGCAGCGCTGAGAGGGACTTCTATGGGAGAGGGAGAACGGGGTTGGGATGGGGGAGACGCCTCACGGCAGAGTAGGAACGATACATGCTTTCATGTAAGAGTCTCCAAAAGCCGCCAGTGACACTGTTAAAAGTCGCCAGATTTGTCGCTAGTCGCTTTTTTGAAAAATAGTCGCTGGAGGGGTCTGAAAAGTCTCTGAGTTGGCAACACTGCACCTGCGGCGCTGAATCGCTCTGACATATTTTTTTCCTTCCCCGTTTCAGTCTAGTGGATGTGATGACGGCGGATGACGCATTAATCGCGCGACACAACTAAGCGATGATTAAATTCGTTACCAACGCTTCTAAAAGTCGATTTTTATCGATTTTATCGATTCGTTGGTGCAGCCCTAATATACATACATACATATATACATACATACATTATATATATATATATATATATATATATATATATATATATATATATATATATATATATATGGCTCGTCGCGGCTCGTTGCAGCAGTTCCGGTGGCTCGCCGGCAAATGGCACGGCGTATTACTGGCCGGAGCGACTGAATTATTTTGTCATGTAGTTTTTTGATTGCTGTTCTTTGGTATTTAATTATTTTTTGGGTATTTTTCTTGCCGTTTTTCGGCAAATGCCTTATTTATAGTACTTCCAACTAGATTGTTATATATATATATATATATATATATATTTATATATATAGTGATGTTATCGCTTAATAACCTGTATTAAAATGTACTCTTTATGTGTTTTTTTTTTTATTGTGATGTTATTGCTTAATGAACTGCATTAAAACTTTTATAAGGTCACATTTACTTGATGGAACGGAGTAGTTTATCTGCCTATAAGTGGCCTCGGCCGGCAGCAGCCACCATCAGCCTCTCCGATGTCAGGCTGTGCCGGCAGCAGCCACTATCAGCCACTCCGATGTCAGGCTCCACTCCATCGGAGTGGCTGATAGTGGCTGCTCATGGGCAGTTCTAGACAGGGGCCAATGTTATGGCCCCTGTACTGAAGAAATAATGCTTATAAGAAATTCTAATGATGATATGCGCTGGAACAGACTTGGTTACTAATAGGTCCTTTGGATCTATTTCATTTTTTTCCTTTATTAATTATTTAAAAACAGTAGGGTGATAGCTTTTCTGTGCCCCTATGAAAACACGCCGGGGGCCGGCGTGTTTTCATAGGGGCACAGAAAATATGTATATAATGTATGTATGTAAACATAAAGAGTACATTTTAATACAGGTTATTAAGCGATGACATCACTATATATATATATATATATATATAAAACAATCTAGTTAGAAGTACTATAAATAAGGCATTTGAAATTTTACACAAATACTACCCAGTTTAACTTTTTTTTTTTTATTACAGTTTGTGCTCTGCATATCCTGAAACGGTACCCCATTTATTTTGGCATTGCTCATACAGCAAAAGGTTTTGGAAATATGTTTCCAAGTTCATTACTGACAATTTATTGGAAGGTTTTTTTTTACTGTCTTTTGAATATGTAGTTTTAGGATTTCTAAAATATGATAAGGGGATAGAACAAAGGGCTCATGTCATCAACTTATTTATCATTATGGCCTTTTACACAAATGTAAATTCTCCCAGCAGAAGCCGCTGTCCCTAGTATTTCATAAATTGTTTATTTCATATATCAATACAATCAAAACAACTTTCAACAAGAAGGCAGTGAAAACTATATTTTTCTATATGTTCAGACTACAATTTCTGTTCTGAATGAGTTAATCTTTTCTTGAATTGTTTTGTAATAGATCCCCTTGGTATGTAGTTGCCCCTTATCTTTCTATTTTCTTCCTTTATTTTTTCTCAAATCCGCCCCTGTTTTCAAGCTTACCCCTTGCTCACACTGGCTCCGGTGCGGTTACCGAGCCGACGGAGACCGCAACTCCCGCACACCCCCTCTCACACCGCCCTTTTGACTACGGTGCGGTGCGGCTCTGCGGCTCCGGCAACAGGTCCGGAGATTTAACAGAAGTTCACTTGAGTTCACGTAACTTCACGCGATAACACGGCCCAAATAAAGGATTTTTGCGAGAGCTTGTTGCGGAGGGCTCCGGCACGCCGCAAGGATAGCTTTCTTGCGGAATTTTCTGCAGCGCCGGAGTGTCTCGGTAACCGCAGCCGGACAGCTCAGCAGCCAGTGAGAGAGGTTTACGTCTTTTTAATGACTTGGAATCACTGCGGCGCCGCACCCACCGCACCGCAACTGTAAGACCGGAGTCGGTGTGAGCCTGGGGTTATGCTAACTGTAGCTGCAGTCTGTAACATTGAGGAGAGAGCAGACTTCGACTAAAAATTTGAAGAAAAACAGGTTTCACGCCACTCCCCCACCCTCTCTGCTTCACTCATGCCCCACCTCCAAGCTCCACCCCCTCACAGCATCTGCGCTACCGCATGCGACCAGAAGGGGGGTGGGGGGGGGGGGGGGGGGGGGGGGTTGGGGGGGGTTCATGGGGGATGGGGGCGGTATTCAGCGTGTGTGAGCTGTGATTGACACTCCATCAGACGCTCCTCTGGCTGTGATTGGTTGTTTTGACTAGTCCCGAATTATTCTTTCCAGATTGAAATACAGGCAGTAGGCGGGACCAATTGAAGCAGTTTTTTTCACAGGTTACATATGTACTGCTGTCTGGGCATAGGGACAGTTTTAGCCAATATGACAAAAAAGTGATTTTTAAAAACTTACAGACTTCAGCTTTAACTGTAAAGACTTATCTTGGACAGGCTGCTATGCTTCGTTTCGCTATGCTGCGGTTGTTTACACTACGCCTTTTCCACCTAAAACAGCGTCTTAGCAACAAATGTAACGTGACATAATTGTTTACTTATATCGCTTCTCTTGTATGCATTTGAAAATTTTGCTTAATATACTTTATATTTACAAAAAAAAGCCAGAAGCTGCGTTAGCTTCGCGCTAGATTCGCGCTAGCTTCCCGCTAGCTTCCGACTATTGTAACCCCAGAAACTAAATGCTAACAGTAATATGAAATCATGCTGTTGTGTAAAAAAAAACTCACGGACTCGACCTGTTGAATGCAGAGGCAGAGAAATGTAAAATACTCACCGATTTTCAATCACTTTATCGTCGTCTGGCTTGAGTCTTCTGTTAATTGTGTACATTCCTTCCGTGTTGTCAGTGCAGCAATCTGATTGGCCAAAAGTTTCCAATTCGTGCGGTGTGTATCCAACATCGCGGGAAGTGTAACATCTGACTTCCGGTGGAAAGCGGAAGACGGACACACACCTTTACACACATACCCGATTATTGCTACCATACGGGCCACCCAAACATACATACACCCACACACACACAACCACACACACATACACACATACATACATACATACATACATACATACATACATACATACATACATTAGTACATACACACACACATACATAAATACATACACCCACACATACACACATACACACATACATACATACACACATACATACATACATACATACATACATACATACATACATACATACATACATACACCCACCCATACACCCATACCTACACCCACACATACATACACCCACACATAGATACACCGACACAAATATACACCCATAAATACATACATACACCCACACATACATGCACCCACACAAATATACACCCATAAATACATACATACACCCACACATACATGCACCCACACAAATATACACCCATTAATACATACATACACCCACACATACATACACCCACACAAATATACACACATACATACATGGCGAGCGCGGGAGCCGAGCGACCGTTGCCCCGTTGCTCGTTCCCATCCAGCGGAAAATGCTCCACAGTTAACTTGTGGACCAGCCGGAGACAACCACAGCCTTGGTCAGGAAGGGTTAAACATGAGATAAAAGATAATATCTGGGATGAGTTTCAATGTAGGAACATTGCAGTTGGTATATCTTTGTTCTTTCCTGCCAGCAAAACCTGTTGCACTGTTTTGTATTAGATGAGTTTGGAAAACTGTATATCTTTGGCTTGAAGGCTTATACTAGGTTTAAAAGTATATTTGTCAGAGAATTCTAACCTTTGGATAGAAAGTTGATTTTTGGGATAATGAAGGTTTATTTTAAATGTTTCTTTTATTGTGTTCCTAGAAGCATGCTTGGTGTGAGGGTTTTGTGAAGTGTTGATAAGTTGTTGTAATCAAGTGGTTGAAGAGTTTGTATAAATCTGAGTTAATATGGTTTAGTTGTCTCTGTAATTGTCCTTAAGATGACATCTTTTGTGTATTTATTCAATATAAATAAGTGGAATTGTATTTATATGAATTATGAAAATGTACGATTTAGGGTTTTTTTAATGGAAAGGGGTGATGTAACAGTTATGTTGAATTTTGTTAGCTGTCTTGTGTGTTATTTTGTGAAACACTGAACATAATATTTTTTGAGTGGTAAATTGTATTTATGTTTTGTGGAACAAGAAATTAGGTTTTCTATAATATGATTTTCAATTATTAGAATATTTATGTTAGTGCTATGAGTTTCCAATAGTAAACAAAACTGAGCTATTTGGATGTTTTCCAGGTTGGTATAGTTATATAGTTATAGCTTGGGTCACTATTAATTATTTGATATGGCAAATATTTATAATATAATATACGTTTTTGTTGTGATAGTAAGTAACAGTATTGTAACTGATGTCTAAATCTCCAATGATTTATTTTTCTGTTGGTGTGAGACATAAATATCTTGAAATGTAATTTCAGTAAAATCATTTCGTTCAGTAGCTGCAGGAACACAGATACAGTTTTTTTTTTTGTAGGGGCTGTGTCCTTAATTATTTGTTTTCAAAGCAGTTTGATTGCTTTGAATTTGTTTTTACACTATTGTTTAAAAGTTTGGGGTCATAGTGAAAGGCCCTTATTTTTGAAGGAAAAGCACTGTACTTTTCATTGAAGTTAACTTTAAACTAGTCCTATCTTTAAGGAAATATGCTCTATACGTTGTAAATGTGGTAATTGACTATTCTAGCTGCAAATGTCTGGTTTTTGGTGCAATATCTACATAGGTGTATAGAGGCCCATTTGCAGTACCTATCACTCTAGTGTTCAATGGTACAATGTGTTTGCTCATTGGCTTAGAAGGCTAATTGATGATTAGAAAACCCTTGTGCAATTATGTTCACATATCTGAAAACAGTTTAGCTCGTTACAGAAGCTACAAAACTGACCTTCCTTTGAGCAGATTGAGTTTCTGGAGCATCACATTTGTGTGGTGAATTAAATGTTCAAAATGGCGAGAAAAACAGCAGTTTCATCTTAGAGTTGACAGTCTATTCTTGTTCTTAGAAATGAAGGCTATTCCATGTGAGAAATTGCTAAGAAATTAAAGGTTTCCTACAATGGTGTGTACTACTTCCTTCGGAGGACAGCACAAACAGGCTCTAACCAGAGTTGAATAATCAGAATCAGAATCAGAAATACTTTAATAATCCCAGAGTGAAATTACTTTTGTTACACGCTCTAGTTACAGTTTTACATGATATATACACACATCCAACTATACAATATAATAAGATAAAAAATAAGAATAAAAAGAGATAAAATATATATACACATATAGCTCTTCTGTACATATATCTGTATGTATATCTATGTATATGTAAAAACTAAATCCAAATAAAGTGAAAAGTCCAATTAAAGTGAATAAATCCAAGTAAAGTGATACGTGGCGTGCAAAAATAGTGCATAAATGTCAATTACGGACGGGGGGGGGGGCTTAATCACTTGAGGGAGGCGTTATATAGGTTGATGACCACAGGAAGGAATGATTTCCTGTGGCGCTCTGTGGAGCATCTGGGTAGGAGGAGTCTTCTGCTGAAGGAGCTCGTCTGCTGGACCAGTGTGTTGTGGAGAGGATGTGAGTCATTGTCTGAGATAGACTGAAACCTGGACAGCATCCTCCTCTCTGCCACGGTGGTCAGGGTGTCCAGCTGCTCCCCCACAACATCACCGGCCCTCTTGATCAGTTTGTTCAGTCTGTTGTTTTCAGCGACCCTCAGCCCACTGCCCCAGCATGTGACAGCAAAGAAGAGCGTGCTAGCAACAACTGACTCATAAAACATCCTCAGCATCGCCCCACAGATGTTAAAGGACTTCAGCCTCCTCAGGAAGAATAGTCGGCTTTGGCCCTTTTTGTAGACCGCCTCGGTGTTTCTAGTCCAGTCCAACTTATTGTTGAAGTACACTCCCAGGTACTTATACTCCTCCACAGTGTCAACAGGAACCCCCTGGATGGAAACAGGGGTCACAGGTGTTTTTGTCCTCCTCAGATCCACTATGAGCTCCTCAGTCTTTGTCACATTGAGCTGCAGGTGGTTCAGCTCACTCCAAGTGACAAAGTTGCCCACCACGGTCCTATTCACTCTCCTCACCCTTTTCAATGCAGCCAACAATTGCTGAGTCATCAGAAAACTTCTGAAGGTGGCAGGACTCAGAGCAATAGCTGAAGTCCGAGGTGAAAAGGGTGAAGAGGAAGGGGGAGAGGACAGTCCCCTGAGGCGCCCCAGTGTTGCTGACCACCCTGTCAGAGACACAGTTCTGTAGGCGTACATACTGTGGTCTGCCCGTCAGGTAATCAACAATCCAGGACACGATGGGGGCCTCCACCTGCATCGCAGTCATCTTCTCACCTAGAATAAGAAATGGGAAGTTGCGTGGGCAACTGAGTATGAAGATAAGTACATTAGAGTCTCTAGTTTGGGAAACAGCTGTTTCACAGGTCCACAGCTGGTATCTTCAGTAAATAGTTCTCTCAAAACACCATTGTCATTGTATTTGGTGCTGGTAAGGTGGGAGATTGTACAGGGTAAAAGGGGTTCTGAAAAAAGAATGCTCACTCCATTTTGCAATGCTATGTCTTACCCAGTGGACAGCGCTTGATTGGAGCCAGTTTCATCCTAAAATAGGTCAATGACCTTAAACATATTGGGTAGTCTCTGCAACACATTGAAATGCAATGTGGCTGTCTGCACTGTAATATTGAATGACTATAGCACTGTATAGTTTAGGTTATCCGATGTAGGGCTGCTGTAATGTGTTGGAAGTTTTCAGATTGATTTGCATTAGACTGGGTTGATGGAGTCTTTTGTTTTCTAGGTAATGTGTGAAATGTTCTTTTTATTTGCATTTGCAAGTCTGTTTTTTCAGTAGAATGGATTGTGGTGTGAAGGTATCCTGTGATTTTCCATTGATAAGAAAAGGATTTGTGTTCAAGGAGATTCTTTTGTTTGGGCTAGGCAGTTGCTGCCTGTCTCATAGTACTGTTTAATTTAGAAATTTGGTAAAGTTTATGGATGTATATCTAAAAGCTGTTTTGATGATTCTTAATTATAGGATTGTACTTTGTACCATAATATTGTATGGCGTACATTTGTTTTGATGCAACTTATTTTATGAAATTAATATACTTCAATTAGTATTTATTCAAAGTAAATGTACATAATTTAAAAATATATTTTTAAAATTGTATTTAACCTTTTGTTTTATGTAAAATTTTGTGATAAAATTTCTTTTTTTATGTAATTTTAGTTTTTAGTACAATAGTTTTATCCATTTCATAGTCTTGAATTGTGTGATTTCCAGTTTTAGGCTGTTTTTCAAGGTCTTTTAAATTCTGTATTATATTTTGTTACATCATTACTATAATTATGCCTCAGGTACTTTTGGAGTCACATTGATTTTAACATCTTCTTTTATCTATGTTTGCAATGAAGATATATCACTTTGTAAAGTAAATAGCATTGTTTATTTGGTCAGAAAAGTGTGAAATGTTTTTTCCTAAGCAACATATGTATTTTAGATTATTTATAATATTTCTGTTTCACTAGTAGTCAGTGGCGGCTGGTGAAAAATATTTTTGGTGGGGCTGATATAGCCTAGTGTATGTCTCCAACTAATCCGGAATAAGAATTCAAATAAACAATTGGACAATACATACAATTTAACAGTAATGATTTAATTTACTATATAATAACAGTAACAGTGATGATTTGGGTCACTGTGACGGGGTTCTTTGGCCTCCAAGAATCCAGGCTCAGTCGGGTTACCGGTGTTGGTGATTTATTGAGCTCAAAAACTCAAAACAGGGTGCAAAAGAAACTAAACATATACCAGATACTCTGGGCCTCAGCCTCCCTCCAGTTACCAGCAATGTAACAAAGAAACAGAAAAC